CCCTCCTCCTCCTCCTCCTCCTCCTCCTCCTCCTCCTTCTCCTCCTCCTTCCACTCCTCCTCCTCCTCCCTCCTCTTCCCGACGTGCTGGATCCCAGCGCTCTCGCCGGAGGACGAGCGGCGCGCCGTGGAGTTCACGCAGTGCCGGCTCCAGTTCAACCACGGCTGGTTCGTGCAGGCGGAGGCCCCTCCCGGGGCCATCTTCACCAGCTTCAAGGAGGTGCCGACACTTTGCCCCTTCTCCTCCTCCTCCTCCTCCTCCTCCCCTCCTCCTCTCCTCCTCCTCCTCCTCCTCCTTCCTCCTCCTCCTCCTCCTCTCACCCTCTCCTCCTCTTCCTCCTCCTCCTCCTCGAAGAGGAATCGGAGGGGCGTCCAAGAACCCAGAGATCCAAGGTCTTGAAAAACTCAAGACGCAGGTTTTTCGCAATTTTCGGCCTCAGGGGTCCCTCGCCAGGCCCCGGGACCGTCAAAAAACGACCCAGGATGGAAAACCGGTCCTGGGGAATGGGTCGGGACCTCTGGGGACCCCGTATTGAAAAATCACGACCCTGGTGGGTGGACTAAAAGTGTCCATACGTGTCTCGCCAAGACTTTGGCTTATTAAAGCACGTCGGACCAGCATGTATTCCCCATTCCTCCAAATTCAAAGTTGACGGGTGTGGGCGGTATGCCGCAGGCCAGGGACAAAATGTAGACATTTCAATTTTGATTTCGGGGGGGGGGGGGGGCGAAAGCAAGGGCATTTCCCAGTTGTGGTTGTCATCATGTTGCACCGCCTTACCGCCATCGGGAACTTGGGTTTGCCGGCGATTTTGACGAGCGCGCCCTGGATGTTGACGGTCCCATTTTCGCGGGACGCTTGCAGCGGGAGTTCGCGTCGAATTTCAGACTGGGTCTCGTCATTTCTACGATGGCCCCGTCAGGCCAACCCGAGTCCCCCGTACTCGAGTCTTACGTCTCCCCGATAGATGCTCAAGGTTTTGAAGGCCTCCCAGGTGGGGTCCGAGTAGATGGTGTCGGAGGCTCGCGCCGCATCGCCGGTGCATCGGCGAGGAGTCGGCGACGTCAGATTGGAGAACAGCGGGCGCTCTAGCACGGTGGGCCCAGGCAGCCCGAGGCCCAGGATGCAGGCAGCAAGGCCACCTGTGGCGGCGCCCGCGAGCGAGGAGGCGCGAGGGGGGCGGGCTTCTGAGGGAGCGGCGGCGCCTCTGACAGAAGGCCGCGGGGCGCCTTAGAAGCCCGCGCGGTTTCTGAGAGGCCTGGTTCGCGGCAGCTGGCAGCCGGCCCGGCTGCTGAGAGGCTGCTTGTGGGTCTCTCTGTATGAAGAAGGCTCAGGAGGGAAAAAAAACACACAGACACAATTAATCGTCGATCCCCCAGAAAATATTGGAAAATATGGGAAGTGGTGGGGAAGACAAAAACCCAGAAAATATAGGAAAATATGGGGAATCTTTTTATTTGTGTGTATTTATTTGTGTGTCCCGGGGCCCCTTCAAAGGCGCCTGCCTTCTAAGAGAGAGAGAGAGAGAGAGAGAGAGAGACCCATCTGGCTTCTTCAGAGGCCGCTCCCCTCGCGCCACCCCCTCGCTGACACCGCCAGTGCTCATACAGGAACGTGTGTGTATACACATGCATATGCACGAGTGCATGTACCTTGGTATACACATACACCTGATATTCGGGCATGGCCAGGACCCCGGGTAAGGGGACCCGGTTAGTGGTAGGGCCCCAGAGCCTTCGAATTGGCCAGAATCACTAAACCAGGTTTGCCATAGCTGGTGTTTTTTTCGGGTGACGGCAGTTCCGGTCAGTGGAAATGGGACTGGGGTGCGCCCCTGGTACAGATCACTAAACCAGGTTCCACTAAACCCAGTTCTACCAACGCCCGAGATATGCTTGCACTGACTGTGTAGATGTATATGCACATGTGGGATTATATGCATATGTATGTGCATGGGTGCATGCATGTAGATGCACGTGCGTATGTACCGCCATAGTTATCATGTGTGTATGTGTGAATGCGTATGTTTATCTAGCTGTAGAGTATATGCATATGGGTACGCATTTGTATGTGCGGTGTAAACGTGGATATGCATGTAAATGTGCATGGTTATGTGTATGTGTAGTGTACGTGTATGGCTGTATATGCTGGATATGACTATGTATACGCATGTGTAAGTGTACATGTAATTGTACACGCGCACATGTGTTTGCTTATGTATATGTATATACGTTCATGCATGTGTAAACGTATGCGTAGATGAATGTGTATGGACAGTTCTCTATAATGTATGTGTATACATAAATGAGTGCACACGTGTATAAATCTATATGTATACAAGTATATGTGTAGATGTGTACGATTGTCTTCCTCTATTTTTGTAAACTGGGGGGCGGGAAAACCGTTACCCCCACCCCCAAAACGGAACTTTCGGGATCTGGTGCTTTGGGGCCCCCTGGACGCCCTTGAAAGAAACCCCCCAGCCCTGCCGCGCCTCCCTGGGCGCCTTGCCGGGCCTTGCCAGCAAGCTCAAAACGATCAGACAAGTGGTTTGAGAGGCCCACGGAAGCACAAGGCGGCCTCAAGACGGCCCAAGAGGCCTCCAGGACGGCCCAAGAGGCCCCAAAGACGCCCCAAGCAGCCTTCAGGAGAGCCCCCAAGAGGCAAACATCGTTCCATTCCCTAAGGAAGACGTCAATGTTTAGCATCTTCGCTTTTGGTGCCGTAGCAGCGTCCAAGACGGCCCAAAAATCCTGCGAGATCGCCCCAAGGCTGTTCAAGAGGCACCACGAGGGCTTCGAGCTGGGCCACGAGGACCCCAAGATTGCCCCAAGACGGCCCAGAAGAAGCTCACGAGGCCCCCAAACGCTTCCTCCAGATTCGCCGTACTTTGCTCGATTCTCCTATCCAACGTTGCGTCGGACATGCACCCCGAACGGTGCGAAACAGAGGATGGCGGAAATTGGCCGCCTCAGACGAAAGTAGGGCAGAGATCTCCGCAGAGGCATGGATGAAACGGCGACGGCAAAGTGGGGCGGAAATCGGCACCAGGGGAGCTTGAAAAGTCGGGGTTCGGGCCAAGGGGGAGGCTCGCCTGGTCAGCGTGCCGTCGGCGTCACCCCAACATACTGATACTATGCGTGCGTCGCCCCCCCAGGGGCGACGCGCGCACCGAGAAATCTTATAGTAGATGCGTCGTGGCGGGCGCTTTCTGGCTACGCCGCTCGGGAAACGATGTACTGCAAGGTGGCTATGCTACATGTCCAGGTCGGACGCACGCCTCCAAGGCGGACACGTGGTACCAGTATGTCTTTGTGCGTCCCATGCCGCTCGAGTTAAGTCGGGCGTGTCCCCCTACAGGGGGATTTTGGGCAAAACAATAGTCCAAAAAGACCCCCCAAATGGGCAAAGACTGTAAAACAGATCGTCCCCGGACTGCTTTGTGACTGCTCTTGGATACACTCCTCCCGTGGAGGGGGAGAGGCCCGACGTCACGCCCGGGGCGCCCGACCCGAGGTGCTCCGGGAGAGGGGCGCGCACGGCCGCATCAACAAGGAGGACCTGGCCCTCTACTTCGTGCACTGGCTCACGGACCTCGCAGGCCCCCTCCCCCTCCTCCCCCCCCTCCTCCTCCTCCTCCTCCTCCTCCTCCTCCTCCTCCTCCTCCTCCTCCTCCTCCTCCTCCTCCTCGCGGGACGGGGGCCCTCTCCTTCGCCTCCTTCTTCGAGGCGGGACCACTTGCTGCCGCCCCCCGCCGCCTCTCTCGGCTTTCCTCTTACACAGCGGGAGGCTCAGGCGGGGCGCCCAGCACGACGACGAGAGCTCGCGAAGCTTTCGCCATGCCTGCGTCCCACCACCACCCCCCGTGGAGAAGCTCTTGGCCGTGCTTGGCGCCTGCTGCAAGAAGCAGGCGGAGTCTCTCTTTCCCCCGCAGGACGCCCTGTTTGCAAGCGGCCGCGCCACGCAGGGGTCTGGAGCTATAGGACCCCCCCCCCTTCCCTCCCCCCCCCCCTTGGCGCCCAATGCCGAGACGCCGAATCCCAAACCGGTCACGAGGGGGTGGGCGGCAGGGGGAGCCCCTCGTCGCCACGGGCGCGGCTCGAGGAGCTGGCTCGTCTAGAGGCTCCGGATCCGCCGCTCCTTGCTTAGGTGCACGCCGGTCGTTGAGATTAGGTATTGGGCTGGCTTCCGGCCAGTGCCGCCGATCGGGGGGGGCTCCGGAAGTGGAGTTTTCTATACCTCCCTGTCCCCGGCCGGGCACCGAAAAACGTCGGAAATGACGTCGGAAATATCCCCGTGTACCGGAAAAACGTCGGAAATGACGTCGGAAATAACGTGCCCCCCCCGTTGAAATGAGGTATTTCTGGATTCCCGGGTCCCAATCTACTTCAGGCGCCTTCCTAGTGTTCTGTTGTGTGTTGTGCTGTGCTTTGTTCTTTTCTGGTAGGGCCTGAAGCCGGTCTGCTTGGTCCGCCTTCCTGCTTCATGTTTTTACATACTTTTTCCGACCGACGTGTAGAATTTGTCCGAGGTAAGATTGTGTCGGACAAGCACCCCAAGCGATGCGCAGAAGTGGTGCGACGCAGGGCGGATGTTTCCGCAGAGGCACAGCGGAAGTAGCGACGGCAAAATAGGGCGCACAGCTGCATCAGAGGAGTTTCCGGCGGCGCGCCAGGGGGAAGTGACCCCGAGGAAGTGAGAGGGGTACGGTCTTCTCAGAAGGCGGCGGGGCTTCTGAGAAATTCTTGTCGCGCCTTCGGGGAAGGATCAGAGCACATTCTGGAAGGCCAGAGGCCTTCCGAGCCTCCTGGGAAGGCCCGACCCCTCTGGCTTCCCCCCTGGGTTCGCCGCTGAAGATGACAAGTAGGGCCCTGGGTTCGCCGCTGAAGATGACAAGTAGGGGGGAATTTCCGCCCTACTCGCGAAATCGCCTCCGGAGTCGGGGTCGTCTCCACAGCAGGGCGCGGCTCGAGAAATTGGTTGCAGTTTCGACCCCAGCAGGGATCCTGGGCCGGCCGGCCGGGCTGGGCCGCTCCCCAGGGAGCGGGTTTGAGCAGATGTGCCCTCGTCTCAAATTGTAGGGCTTCGGGCTGCGCGCAAACAGCCTCTCAGGTAGACCCGGCTGGCGTAGCCTCACCGAGTAGTCCAGGGCGGTCTCAACACCCTCGTCTGTGCACAACCCGAAGCCTTATCATTCTTAGGCCTAAGAGCAAAATCGCGCTGGGTTTATGCTCGTCATGTCGTTCTCCAGGGGCCCTTTCGGCTTCTGGGCCCTGATATAAACTTTTGCCTGGGGTGAGAAGCCCGGGGAAGGAGTCGGGAGGTCCAGCGTCGCGTGCCACGAAAAAGGCATGACGTCGAATGCGTGCGTGCCCTCACCCCTGGTCCCCCTTCCCTCGCCCCCCCCCCCCCCGCACCGTGCCCACGTATCCGATGATGCCTTGGTTTGTTCAGCGCACGGCCCCTGGACCTCTCGTCCCGGATCGTGCGTGTTTGGATCGCCGCGGGGCCCAGAGGCAGCGTCCACGGGCTCTGGAGATGGCGCAGAGCCTCTGCCCCCATGTTTGCAAGGTGATTGGACGTTTGGGCCCCCCTTACCTGCTTCGCCTCCCCCCAGCGAGAGAAGGCGGGGGGATCGGAAGTGACGGGGCAACCCAGAGCCCACGTCTTCATAGTTGTTCCCGTCGGCCCCCAGAGGCCTGGACCCCTTCCCAGCGAGCGGTTTTCCATCCCGACCGTGGTTTCCGAAAAATGCGCGTTGAAGCGGGTCCACCCCCCCTGCCCCAAGTTCAAAGTTCGGGGTTGGTCGAGGCGGGGGAGTGCGAGTCGGTTCCCAAAAAAGCGCCCACATTTGCAAACCGCGGCCTGCTCCCATAGATACGCACTGAAATTGGGGGCGCGGGGGGCGCTCTTGCGCCATCTTCTAGTCATCGTACCTCGGCGTTTTTTTTCGAAAACGCCGAGAGTAGTCCGTTGACGGCCCCAGGGCCAAAGAGCTTCTGTCGCGATGTGCCACGACGCGAGGGGGTTTGGGAGCGAGGGTGCCCTGCACAGGTGCCGAGCCCACGCCGCTCGGCGGGTGCGAGAAGTTCGTCGTGAAGTTCCCGCTCATGGTGCTCGCTGCTCGTCCTTCTCGTGCCATCTGGCTCGCCTGGCCTGGGCGACGTTCTAGGCCTCTTAGATAGGGTCGGAGCAGATGGGGTCGGAGGATCTCGCCGCATCGCCGATGCATCGGCGATGCATCAGCAATGCGGCTCGATGCGGAGACCGTGTTTCCCCACGCCGGCGTCGCCGATGGATCGCCGATGCGTTGGCGATGCGGCGCGATCCGGGCCCACCTGCTCGGACCCCATCCAGGAGGCCTCTGTGCTCGTCCTCCTCGTGCCGTCTGGCTCGCCCGGCCCGGGCGACGTGGCGCCGCGCTCCCGGCGTGGCACCTCCCCCCTCGCCGCCGCCGCGGAAGCAAGCTCAGCGCCCTCCAGCGAGATGTTGAGTTCCATCCGCGCGCTTATTCCTTCGGTTCCGGCCCTCGGGGGCAGCTTTTAGGCCCCAGGGCCCTCAAACATACGGGGCCCAAAGGCATACACCACCACCACCACCACATCGCTCATCCCCTCCCCCTCCCAGGAAAGGGGAGCGAAAGATGAGGGCGGAGGAGGGAGGGGGAATGGATGTGGTGGTGGTGTATATGATTGGGGCCCGCAGGAAAGGATCCGGGACGAAGCACTGCCCCCTGGGAAGCGGTCGGGACTTCTTGAGCCGCCGATCGACCAAGACCAGATCGGCGGATGTCTGGGAAGCCAGCGGGTCCTGGGAGAAACGGGTCCGGAGGTGTTTCATTGTCCTCGGGCTTATGGTGACCTCCGCGGGGGTGCTTTGGCCAGCGGTGGGTCCCATGTTTTTGAAGGATGTTCTTCTGTTCTAGAGGTCCGACCGTAACAGCTGCGCCCCCCAGAAATGGCATGCCGTTTGAGCCCAGGGTTTCTGGAACCCGCCACATGATATTGGCGAGGAGGGGACATGGGCAGACTCCCTCTCTCCCTCTCGCGTGGGGATGAGGGGCGGAAGCAATGGGTGGCTCGCCTGGAGAGTTCGCACTGCCTGCTTCGTTGGCCTCCTCACTGCAGGTGCCTCAGGCCAGTCCCCGGTCCCTCCCGCCCCTGTGCCCCTTCCGTGAGGCCTCGGCCAGGGTGACGCCCTATTCCAGGCCAGGGGGGTGGGGGGCTGGTTCCCGGGGCCAGCCAGTCGCCAGGGACAGAGTTGCTGTTGGGGCTGGCCGCTGTTCCTTCTCCAAAGGAGGGATGAGGAGAAGGAGGAGCGGAGGATAGGAGGAGGACGAGGAGGAGGAGGAAGAGGAGGAGGAGGAGGAGGAGGATAGTAGTAGTAGTAGTAGTAGTAGTAGTAGTAGTAGTAGTAGTAGTAGTAGTAGTAGTCGTAGTTAGTAGTAGTAGTTAGTAGTAGTAGTAGTAGTAGTTGTAGTAGTAGTAGTAGTAGTAGTAGTAGTAGTAGTAGTAGTCGTAGTAGTGTTAGTAGTGGTAGTGGTAGTGGTAGTGGTAGTGGTAGTAGTAGTAGTAGTAGTAGTAGTAGTAGTAGTAGTAGTAGTAGTAGTAGTAGTGGTAGTAGTAGTAGTAGTAGTAGTAGTAGTAGTTAGTAGTAGTTAGTAGTAGTTAGTAGTAGTTAGTAGTAGTAGTAGTAGTAGTAGTAGTAGTAGTAGTAGTAGTAGTAGTAGTAGTAGTAGTAGTAGTAGTAGTAGTAGTAGTAGTAGTAGTAGTAGTAGTAGTAGTAGTAGTAGTAGTAGTAGTAGTAGTAGTAGTAGTAATAGCAGTAATAGTAGAAATAGTAGTAGTAGTGGTCGGAGTAGGAGTAGGAGTAGGAGTAGGAGTCAAGCTAGCCAGCTCGAGCGAGTCAAGCATGGCATGCCCAGTCCCACCCGCCCTCCCACAACATAGGAAGCAAAGCTGGCACAACTGGGGGCCGAAGTCACACCGGCCAGCCGGTTTGGTACAGCTGATGCGGCCGCGATGGCGGTTGCCGACGGGAACTGGCGAGCGCGTGTTGAATGCCGCGCACGCATTGCCAGACGAGTCGAGAATGGCCCGTACACCGCAGGAAGCCAGAGGTGGCCGGAGGAAGCCCGACGGTCTGACAGGACACCCCAAAGCATTTTTGTGAAAAAGCATGGGGTTTTTGATGTTTTTATGTTGAAATGCTTGCAAACACACGGCGTTCGGTAGGATTCTGACATGAACGCGCGAGTGTGCTCTTTGTGGTATTTTTTGCACAGGATTCGCGGCCTGGGTGCATGACAGAGCATCGCGAGTGCACCGCGCGATGACGCGAAATCGCTGGATTTGACCGAATTT